GATGCAATGATATTCCAATAGTAGTGAACATACTTAGCAACCAGATCTTGGTTTTCAAATACTGTACTCTGCTCAAAAGAACCAACATTCTTACAAGAAATGGTAGATTTCAATGTTGTGTCTGGAAAAATACAAGTTGAGACTGGAACAACTTGTTTGGACAACCTAGAAGAAATGCATAAATTCTGAGAAACATATAACCCACCAGGACTGAATCTGAACAGACCAATTACTAGTGAAAAAATGGAATCAGTAATCACATACCTCCCACAAACAAAAGTCCAGACTAGATGGCTTCACTGGTGAATACTGCTAAACATTTACACTTGATCTTAGCCAAAAGGCCGAGAAGCGATTATACTGCTAAACATTTTTTTTAAATTTTTTTTTCAACGTTTATTTATTTTTGGGACAGAGAGAGACAGAGCATGAACGGGGGAGGGCCAGAGAGAGAGGGAGACACAGAATCGGAAACAGGCTCCAGGCTCTGAGCCATCAGCCCAGAGCCCGACGCGGGGCTCGAACTCACGGACCGCGAGATCGTGACCTGGCTGAAGTCGGATGCTTAACCGACTGCGCCACCCAGGCGCCCCTATACTGCTAAACATTTAAAGAAGAATTAATATCAATCATTTTCAAAGTCTTTCAAAGAAATAAAAGAGAAGGGAATACTTTCAAACTCATTTTATAAGGCCAGCATTACCCTCAGACCAAAACTAGACAAAGACACTACAAGAAAAGAACACTGCAGAACATTACATCATCAACATAGATGTAAAAATCCTCAACAAAGTATTGGTAAATTGAATTCAACAATACATTGAAAGGATCATACACCACGATTAAGAGGGATTTGCCCTAAGGATGCCAGGATGGTTCAACATCCATAAATTGATCAATGTGATACACCATATGAACAAAATAGAGGGTAAAAATCATACGATTTTTATAGATGCAGAAAAAAATGCATAGATGCAGAAAAAACATTGTCAAAATCCAACATTTGACAGAAATTCATGATAAAAACTCAACACACGGGGTACAGAGAAATGTACCTCAACATAACAAAGGCCATATATGACAAGCCCACAGCTAACATCATACTCGGTGGTGAAAAGCTGAAAGCTTTACCTTTAAGATCAAGAATAAAACAAGAAGGCCCACTCTTGTCATTTTATTCAAGATGGTACTGGAAGGCCTAGCCAGAGTAATTAGTAAAGAAAAACAGGTAAAAACCATCCAAATCAGAAAGGAGGAAGTAAAATTATCTCCATTTGCAGATGACATGATATTATATATAGAAAACCCTAAAGGGGCATGTGAGTGGCTCCGTCAGTTAAGCATCTGACTTTGGTTCAGGTCATGATGTCGCAGTTCATGAGTTTGAGCCTTGTGTTGGGCTCTGTGCTGACAGCTCAGAGCCTGGAGCCTATTTCAGATTCTGTGTCTCTTTCAGTCTCTCTGTCCCTCCCCCACTCACACTCTGTCTCTCTCTGTCTCTCTCAAAAATAAACATTAAAAAAATTTTTAAATAAAAGAAAACCCTAAAGACTCCATAAAAAAAATTGTTTGAACTAATTCAAACAATTTGAATTCAGTAAGTTGCAGGATTCAAAATCAATATATAAAAATCTGTTGCATTTCTATACACTAACAACAAACTATCAGAAAGAGAAATTAAGAAAACAATCCCATTTACAACTGCATCAAAAAGAATAAAATGCCTAGGAATACAGTTAATCAGGGAGGTGAAAGATCTCCACACTGAAAACTATAAGACATTGATGAAAGAAATTGAAGATGACACTAATAAATGAAAAGATATTCCATACTCATGAATTGGAAGAATTAATATTATTATAAAGGCCATGCTACTCAAAGAGATTTTTGGGTCCAATGCAGTTCCTATCAAAATTCCAATGGCACTTTTCACATAAACAGGGAAAACATTCCTAGAATTTGTAAGGAACCCCAAAGACCCCGAATAACCAAAGCAGTCTTGAGGAAAAAAATGAAGTTGGAGGCATCACACTTCCTGATCTCAAACTATATTACAAAGCCATAAAAATCAAAACTGTATGGCATTTGCATGAAATCAGGCACATAGTTCAATGGAATAGTTTAGAGTACTTAGAAATATGCTCAAACATACGTGGTTAATTGATTTATGACAAGAGAGCCAAAAATATACAATTGAAAAAGCATAATGTCTTCAGTAAATAGTGTTGATAAAACTGGACAGCCACACACAAAAGAATGAAACTGGACCACTCTCTCACACCATACACAAAAATCCACTCAAAATGGATTAAAGACTTGAACATAAGATCTGAAACCATAAAACTCCTAAAAGAAAACATAGGGGGTAAACTCCTTGACATTGGTCTTAGCAATGACTTTTTAATTTGACACCCAAAGCAAGGGCAACATAAGAAAAAATAAATGTGACTACATCAGACTAAAAAGCTTCTGCGCAGCCACCATGAGAAGATACTCAACATCAATAAATGCAAATCAAAACCACAATGAGCTATCACCTCATACCTGTTAGAATCGCCATCATCAAAAACAGAAGAGGTAAGTGTTAGTGAGGGTGTGGAGAAAAGGGAACCCTCAGGCACTTTTAGTGGGAATATGAATTGTTGCAGCAACTATGGAAACCAGTACAGTAGTTCCTCAAAAAATTACAAATAGAACTATCATATGATCCAGCCATTCCATTTGTGAGTATATATCCAAAGGGGAAAAGAAATCACTGTCTTAATGAGATAGATGAACAGATAAAGAAAATGTGAGATACACACACACACACACACACACACACACACACACACACACACGTAGTGGAATATTATGTAGCCATAAAAAAGAATAAAATCTTGGATAGACTTTGAGGGCATTATGCTAAGTGAAATAAGTTATACAGAGAAAGACAAATACTATATGACCTAACCTATATGTGAAATCTAAAAAAAATTGACCTTGTAGAAATAGAGAACAGATTGGTGATTGCCAGATGTGACACAGGTGGGGAGTGGGGAAAGTGCGTGAAGGTGGTCAAAAGCACAAACTTCCTGTTAGGTGATAAATAAATTCTGGGGATGTAATGTACAGCATAGTGACTATAGTTAACAATACTGTATTGTGCATTGATTTTAAATGAATAGATCTTAAAAGTTCTTAACATAAGAAGAAAAATTGTAACTACGGTAGTTAACTAAGCTTACTGTGGTAATCATTATCAAATCGTTACGTTGTATACCTTAACTAGTATGTCAATTATATCTTAATAAAACTGGAGAACAAAATGGAAAGAATAAAAATATCAGTTACCACTGTAAAAAAAAAAAATGTTAATCTCATCCCAAAACACCCTTACCGAAAGACTCAGAATAATGTTTGACTATATATCTGAACATCCTACAGCCCAGACAAGTTGACACATAAAATTAACCATCGCACTATCCAATAGGATACTGTGGAAATAACATAGTATGACTTCTGAGGACAGATTATAAAAGACATTGTGGCATCTGCCCTTCTCTCTTTTTCTGGGAGAAGCCAACTGCCATGTCACAAGGAGACTCAAATAGTCCTATGGTGAGGTCCACATGTTGGGACTATGAGGCCTGCAGCCAACAGCCATGAGTGAGCCCTCTTAGACCTGGATCCTCCAGGGCAAGCCCAGCCTTCAGGTAACCAGTTCTGGCTGATGTTTGGACTATAGCCTCAAGACAAGCCTGAGCCAGAACTGCCTCGCTAAGCTGTTCTTGGATTCCTGACACACAGAAACTGTGTGAGATACTAAATTCTTACCCTTGCTTTAAACCAGTGAGCATAGGGTAATCTGTTACTGTGCAATAGCTAACCAACATAAAAATCATTCTACAAAAATACTTGCTGTGTACTCTTCAAAAACATCGAGGTCATGAGAGACATAAAAAGGGCCGAGGATCTTTTGCAGATAAATGAGGGGAAATAAAAGACATAACCCGCTAATGTAATGTGTGAACCTTGAATGATTCTGGACCGGAAAAACGAAAGGGTGAGAGAGAGAGATTGCAATAATAAAGATTACTGAGATGAGTGGAGAAATTTGAGTATAGCCTGTTGCTTAGATATTTCAATGTTTATTTCCTGTTTTTGTGCATTTACTTAGTTATGCAAGAGAATGTCCTTGTTTTTAGGAAAAACGCACACCAAGTATTTATAGCAGGGGGTATCATACCTTCACCTTACTTCAGTTCCAAAGTAACAATTCTATAATTATAGAAGCATATGTATGTATGTGTGCACACATCTAGATAGATCTCTATATAATTACACCTATATGTCATCTAACTGTCTATAGAAGGAATAATAAAGAAAATAATAGTGCCATGTTAACAGCGGATAATCTGGGTGACGGGTATATGGGAATTCGTTGTACTGTTCTCAAAACTTTCTGTAGAAATTGCTTCAAAATAAAAAGGGCCAAAGAGCAGAGGGGACTGCTGCTTGTAAATTTCCTTTCTAAGTAAACTATTTCTTTAAACAGAGGATTTGAAACATTAATAGCTTTTGAAAATATTTTAGTGGAGTCAAACCAGAATTTTGGGATAGGATGGGATGGGATAGGATGGGATGGGATGGGATGGGATGGGATGGGATGGGATGGGATGGAGCATTGTAGATTAGCAAGGGTGAGTCCTAGTTTGTGAAACGTGTTTCATTTCTCCAGAAAAGACGAAGTGGACGCATCGTTGCACGGTAGAAAAGGTTGGAAAGCCACAACGCTGAGGGCTAGAGCCTGAGCCAAAGACCGGGTCACAGTTGCTCCGCCCCTCTGCCCCCCTGACCCCGTCGCCCCCTCAGGCGGACGCCTCGCAGCGCCCGCCAACCTAACAGGCGCCTGCGTCCCGCCCCAGGCAGCCTGCAGGTGTGCGCGCAAAGCTAGCACGTGGTGCCAGGCTCTATTTAAGGGCCCCCCCTCCCTCCCTTGTCGCCGTCTGTTGCTTCAGCCGCGTTTTCTCGGAGCTGCCGGAGGCTCGAGCGTCTCGGAACGCATCCCGCCGCTGGGGCTGCCGCCGGGGCATGGGCGCTGCGGGCCTGTTCTGCGTCGTCTTGGCACTCTTCGCGCCGGGGGTCCTCGGTGAGCTGGGAGGGGGAGCACGGAGGTAGGGACACGTCTGGGGCACGGACGCCTCTGTGCGGCGATGCAAAACGGAGTAAGTGAGAAGGAGGGGTCAGGGCCGGACGCTTGACTGCCTCCGCTCGCTCTGGGGGACCCCTAGGATCTCCTGGTCCTGAATGTGCTCACTGGCTCCTCCCGGGGCTGGGATCACTCGCTCTGCGCTGTCGGGGCTCCCGGGCCCCGGGGACTCAGCTGATGCTCCTCGCACTCGCCCGAGGTCTGCAAGCGCTCCTAACGCTGGCCACGTAACCAAACCCTACGGGGCTCGGGTGTGCGAAGACCTCCCGCTGCGGGCTTGGTTCTCCCATCGTCTGCACTTTGATGCGATGCTGGTAAAGAGATCCTAAATGACAAACACCTAGAGCTATTGGAGGAAACTTGGTATGTGAATTAAAACTACAGCCTTCGTGTTATTTACCTTCTGCAATGGCAAGGGCCCCAGAAGGTCTCCTTCCACGTTGATGCTAACTCCCCCCACCCGCGATTGGCTTCATTTTAGAGAAGCACAGCAGTTTGTTAAGACTAGAATCTCTTGGCTACAACGTGGGTCTAACTTTGTAATTGTCTCCAGGGTAGAGTGAAATCTTAGTTAAAAGTTTACTATCTGCACATTCCAATAACTGGGTGACTTTTGGCAAGTCTTTTAGCTCCCTGACCCTCAGTTTCCTCATCTGTGAAATGAAGCTAGTGCGGTAAGCTGCCCTACCACCTTACAGCGCTGCCCTGAGTGTGAGATGAAATTAGGCAAATGAAGGTCAGGCGTTACTTGTTATTACTAAATACCAGTCCTGAGATTACTGTATAGATCCGGTTCTATGGAGCCAGCATCTACGCATAATCCGCAACCCCCCCTCCCCCGCCTTGCTAAGGCATCCTGCATACAATCAATGGTTCTGTTACAGCTTACTTTGCTTCCTGACATTCTGCTTTCTCCGGGCCCTCGGTTGGACATTTCCCCCAGACCAACATCTTCATCTCTCTTTCCTACGCATGAACTCCCTTTGAACAAGTGCGCGTTCACAACTTTCTCTAACACCTCTGCATGGCACGGTTCCAGACCTGACTTCTCACTGACGCTCTGTTCCTATTACTAAATTTTGCAGAGGATATTATCCATTGAAAATCAGGTTCTACACCGGCCCTGCCAGTTCAGCGCCCCTTCCAAGTATGCCCGAGAGTCCCCCCCCCCACCAGCCCAGTACCAGTGTGCCACCGTCCTCTCTGGCCACTTAACTGCAGACTCATGAACGACCAGGCCTCCCTGTCTGCTTCCAGCTAATGTGCTTCCCTTGTTTGTCTTTGCACCCACCCACCAATATTCTAATCCTGAGCATATGATTGATTACCTGTGTAACAACCTCCTCTCTTACCAGTCACTCTGATACCCGCCTTTAACTTACCAGTGGTGACCACCAACATTTTAACATATCTTATCTAGATCTAGATCTAGATCTAGATCTAGATATGTTTTTTTCATTACTCCACTCCGTTGCTCAAAAATGTAAGAGGGCTTCCCACTGCCTGTGGGATTAAAAAAAAAAAAAAAAAAATCAGGGGCGCCTGGGTGGCTCAGTCAGTTAAGCGTCCGACTTCGGCTCAGGTCACGATCTCACGGTCCATGAGTTCGAGCCCCGTGTCGGGCTCTGGGCTGATGGCTCAGAGCCTGGAGCCTGCTTCTGATTCTGTGTCTCCCTCTCTCTCTGCCCCTCCCCCATTCATGCTCTGTCTCTCTCTGTCTCAAAAATAAATAAACGTTAAAAAAAAAATTAAAAAAAAAATCTAATGCCTCAGCCTTTCAAGCTTTTTGTCATTGGATCTCATCTAAACATGCCCCTCCTGACTCCCCATCGCTTCTGCTGTTCATCCTATTGCCTGACTGTCCCCTCCCCCCTGCCACCACCACCACGGTCCTTTGCTGGTGCTGTGCCCACACATCCCTTCTGACTTTCGCTTCTACTGTGTACGTCCCGCAGACCGTGCCTTAGCTCATGGCCAGTTCTTGACCTTGAGCATTCTTAAGAAACTCTTGAGGTACCTTTTGCAAAATTTAGTGATTTTTCCAGTTTTGTTGAGAAATAATTGACATACATCACTGTATAAGTTTAAGGTATACCCCATGATGGCTTCCTTTACAGATACTGGGAAACGATTACCACCATAGGTTTAGTTAACATGCATCATCTCATTGAGATACAATAAAAGGGAAACAAAAAGTTCTCCTTGTGATGAGAATGCTTGGGATCTATTCTCTTAACTTTCCTATGCATCCTACAGCAGCATCCGCTAGAATCACCATGTTGAGCATTATCTCCTAGTACTTATTTACCTTATAACTAGAAGTTTGCACCTTTTGACCACCTTCTTACAATCTGCCCTCCCCCAATCCCACCTCTGGTAGCCGCGAATCTGATCTCTTTCTCTACGAATATGGTGTGGTTCTTTGGATTTTGTTTGTTGTTTGTTTTTAGAGTCCACATATAAGTGAGATCATACAGGATTTGTCTTTCTCTGTCTAACTTACTTCACTTACATAATGACTTCAAGGTCCATCCATGGTTTCACAAGTGGTAGGATTCTGGCATTTTTAATGGCTGAATAATATTGTATTGTGTATATATATATCACAACTTCTTAATCTGTTCATCTATTGATGGACACTTAGGTGGTTTCCATGTCTTGGCTATTGTAAATAATGCTACAATGAACATGGGGGTACAGATCTTTCTGAGTGTGTGTTTTCATTTCCTTTCGATATATTCCCAAAGGTGGAATTGCTGGATTATATGGTAGTTCCATTTTTAATTTTTTGAGGAATTGAAGTGCCTTTTAAAAATTCAGGTTCCTGGGTTCCGTCTCATTCTTCAGAGATTCATAGATTTGGGGTGTGGCCCAGGAAGCTGAGTTTAACAAGTACTCTGGAAGATTCTGAAGCAAGTGTCTATAGGGTGCACTGCTATGAGCAAAGTCATATGGGAAGTGAATTCCCTTCTTAGAGTGATTTCCCGCTTTTCTCCTTTTGTCTGTTTGCATAAACCGATTCTAATGTCCTGCTCTTAAATTTCACTCTTGCCTAGACTGACCACTTCATTTCATCCTACACTAAGAAAACAAAATCATTAAATAGGAATTCCCTTATTTGCCAATCATCTGTCTCCATTTGAGCTCAGATTCTTTCTTCTGCTTAAAACCTGCCAAGGGCTTCCAATCACATTAGAACAAATCCATGCTCTTTAACCTTGACCGTAGATCTGTCTGTCTCTGAAATCCTCTGTTCTCCTCCCTCACTCCCTCTGTTCCAGCCACACTGGCCCTCTTTTTGTTCCTTGAACACAGTCATGTTTGTTTAGCTTTGGCACTAGGGGCTCCCTCCGTTGAAATGCTCATCCTACGTATCATCCCTTGCCTGTCTCTTCGACATTCAGGTCTCTGCTCCACTGTCACCCTTCTCTGACTCTCATCGGAAGTAGTCTGTACCCCAGGTCACGCTCTATCACACAACCGTGTTCTATTTTCCACAGAGCACCTATCTCTCATCCTATGAAAACTTCTTATTTATTTTTTCACTGGCTTGTTTGTTCTCTCATTGAAATACAAGTTCCATGAAAACAAGGTCTTTATCTGTCTTACTGCCTGATGAATCCCTCACACTAGCACATAACAAGGAGTTCAGTAAGAACGTTCTTTTTCCTCCTGTAACAATGGAAAAAGTATCCTTTCTCTTGACTGGAGTCCACTCCTCCTTCAGAATTACGGTGTGCAAGGACTTGACTTCTGCGTGTACCCCATCTCGTATCACCTATTTGTATCTCCCTGTTGGATCATCCCCACCAGCAGTTAAACGTGCTGGGACATTCTTGACTGAGGTCATCAGGAGACTCCTCATGGCCTAGTGAAACTCCATTTTCCCAGCCCTCTTCTCATCCTTCTCAGCAAAACTTCTCATGGACTACTTGCTCACTTCTCTTTATCTCCTTCACCCACTCCAGACAGGCTCCTTCTCCCACATTCTCCTGAAGCTACTCTCTCTAAGGTTACCACTGACCTTCATGCTGACGCATCCAATGGCCATTTTTTCTATCCTTCTCTGTCTCAGTCTTTCAGCAAAAGCTGACTCTTTCTTCTCTCTTGGAACGGTTTTCATTCTCCTCTTCCAAAACAGGGCACTCTTATCA